GAGTTGGGTAGTGCTTGATTTTGATTCGTCAGTTTTCAAGCAGGAAAAGATGGCTGCCATCTCACATGTTCAAACACTCGAGGCCAGAAATAGGCAAAGCAGAGACCGAATCTGGATTAATATCTGATCAGCACTGCCTAGTCTGACAATTTGATCTGAATTTTGTGCGTTGCACTGGACACTCACTGAGAATACTCGGTTTGGCTCTGAGAGCGTTTCAGAAGCGTCTTGCCTGCTTAACATTGTTTACTTGTGTATTTTATTCTTACAAAGGACACAAAAAGGTGTGTTTCTCCACTTCAAATCTCCTCTGACTGATTGACTTCTGGTCTGGTGTCACAATGTTGATGTAGTGTGAAATTCGATCTGGAGTCTGCATGTGGTATTTTAGTTTGAAAATTGACTGGAGTCTCTATGCTGTTTCTGTGCCTGACTTCCTGCCAGTGCAATCTGCTCTGTGCTGCTTGCATCGCGGCGTGTTTGCAGCACACGTCAGGTTTCTCTTTTTCTTCTTGACACAGCAACAACTATTCACATAACAAACCTCTGTCAAGTGTCTGTGGCACCCTGGAAAATCGGCCTGTTTGTGACAATCGAGCTGTTTATGAAAATATTGATGAAGTAACTCAACAAAATGACTGAGCAGGACTCATGCCAGGCTTCTTTGAGGTCTTGTTCAGTTTTTTTTCTGCTCTAACTCTCACACTCTCGCTCCAGTGACTGATATAAAAGCACAACATCATAGGAGTTTTGTCGTTCCTTGGGTTTACGGGTTAAGATGCCAATCACGAACTGTAACATCCCTGGTCATTATCTCCCTCCCTCGTTTCCTGTCACCTCTTCAAGATCAATATCTACCATAAAAAGCCCCATAATCATTATATCACATTCACTTTTCTCATATAATCCTGAATAGATAAGAGTTTCCACTTTGTGATATGGCCACTAGACCGGATGTCACCAGTAGTGGAGGAAGTATTCAGATCTGTTTACTTAAAGCAGCTATGAGGAACTTTAATTTAGCTTAGCTGCCAAAATCCACCCAACTGTGGTGATACAAAGAAAAAACAACAGGTATTTCTGTTATTTTTACCCAAATGCAGCGTGTTTTATTGCCAGGTTCATTCACTAATTAGTTACTTAATTAACAAATAAGCTATTTGAGCAATTACTGATACATAAGATTGGAACTAAGAGTCTTTTTTTAGTATTTTAACCTACATTTCTCACTAATTTTGTCTTTAAAACTGTGTACATTTTTAGCCTTTGGTCCTTGTCCTCATATTCCCTCCGACTCTTCATTTAAAACACAGCAGCGCAAACAGGAGCTGAAGGTAAAGAGTTAGACTTCTCTCATGGCCGGGAGGCTGTTCAGCCTAAAGTTCAACATGGCTTTAATTCCCTGGTGTCAGAGAGGAAGACAGAAAGGGGCGAGTGAGCCAGAGTTTATGGATGGAGATGTCTTTGGACATAGAAGGCAGTGAGGCTGCGGCAGACCAGAGCCAGCAGGTCATCAGCTCCCAGCCAGAAGGCCTGAGAATCAGCCTCAGGAATGAGACGCTGATGCCAGGCTGCGACTGTCTGTGTATCCTCAGGTATTTGTCTATGTGTGTGTATTTACAGTGGATGGATAGAGAGCGGTGGAAGAAGTACCGAAACCCTTTACTTAAGTAAAAGTAGTAATGATTCAATGGAAAAATACTTAAAGAGTCTGCAGGTAATCAGCTCTGTCAGTCAGCCTGTGTCCTAAACTCTTAATAATTAACAAACTTTAACATTGATTGTTGTGCATCTACATGTTTCCTGGGACTTTAAGTGAAAGTCCAGAAACAGACAAAAATAGAAATAAAGTGTTATCAAGACGGGTTATTTCTGTTTTATGTTAATATGCATGAACAAGTTAAAGCATCAATAGTGAAAATCCTTAAATTTGTAGATCGAAGGATTTTGAAAACCTCGTCAGAAGGAAGGAAAGAAACGACTGAAGCAGGAAAGAGGAAAGGAAGAACAAGACAGATTAAAAGTAGAACAAAAGGAAAGAAATATAGAAAGAAGGATGAAAACTAGGATGAAAAGGACAGGAGGATAAAACACAAGGAAAAGTAAAAGAACTATGAAACAAAAGAAGGAAATAAGGATGAACAGTAGGAACAAAGGAAGGAAATAAATAAGGAAACATGGACTTACAAAACAAAGAAAAGGGGAGGAAAGAAGGAAAAATGGATGGAACGAAAGGATGAAAAAAAGAGGAGAAAGTCCAGAAATGGATATCTTTAAATAAAGAATGTGTCTCGATATGTTGTTGAAGTACAGCAGCTGCTCTCCACCGCTGTTTAACTGTGTTTGCTCTTTAACATCTGTCTTCATAAGGACCGGCTACGGTTTATTGCGTAGGATATTTATAGGATATTAATGCACAGTGAGACATTTCGTCTGTTGGAGGGTAAAGATTAGGTTTCAGTTTTTAAAAAAAGTGCTGCGGTTTGACATTGAGCTGTGATTGTTTTGGTGTTTTTTGCATTAGGTCAGTGGCGTAATGCGTACTGTATGTACAGTACGTTTGCATGTGTTTAACAGTGTGTGAAAAAGGTTTATAGTTAGTGTATGTTTGAGTGCATGTGCTTATGCATGCATGTCTAAATGTATACTGTGATAGTGTGTGTGTGCGTGTGTGTGAACGTCCAGCTAATCGCCAGATGGTGTGTCAGACATGGGGAATGTTGTTTATAGATGATGAGAGCGATGAACACCAGGCAACACACACTCACGCAGCTCTAAAGTCCAGATCCGTGTCTGTGTGTCGGCCTGAAGAGTTTGTGGAGAGTTTGTGGAGTTTTGAAATGGACCAGATTCTCGTCTTGATCCCACTCTTATTGTGAAAGAAACAAGAAGGCACCAGGAGCTCGATGAGTTTCTGTTGATAAAAAATGAGCCTGGGAATTGCTGAACTGTTTTTATTTTATTTTTTATTATGATTTAATAAAAACAATTAAAACATTAAAACATCTCTGACAAAGCATTTATAAAACTCCTCCGTGGGTCTTCTTCCAAGGCATAAGGAGGCTTCAGGGTGTTTATTATTCTTCATCCTTCAGCTCAATAAATGACCACACAAGGCTCCTCCAGAGCTTCTCAGTTTCCAGGTTACAGCTTTGTTTGCTCGTCGGAGGAGTGAACAATAAATATTCACATAGTCATTTCTTTATTTAATGTGTAGATTAAAAAAAAATAAATAGAGAAAGCAGCACCACCTAGTGGATTTAATAGTCTGCCTTTATAAGAAACCAATTAAGTCCAGTTCTGAGGTTCTTGTTCTATTGTAACATCTCAGAGGAAAATATTGTACTTTTTTACTCCATTTACTCCGTATTATTATAGATTATTATATCTTATATATATAATTTTATATATAAATATATATATATAATTTTGAAATAATAGTACTTTTATTTTGATGCTTTTTACTTTACTTAAGTAAGAATGGATCTTTTTTTGAATTAATCCGGCTGCCGGGAAACCTGTAGAATTTCTTTTTGATTGAAAATGGAATTTCAATCTTTTATTTAAAAGGGTTTAATATTAACAATGTTTAAAATTTTTATATTTCTAATGATTTTTATATTTATTGGCATTTTATCAACAGTGATTCAATTTAAGTTAAATTAAATAATTAGCTTTTACATCTAAGTTGGCTTTTCCTTGAACAGTGACATTAGTTGGGTATTTAGTAACACATAATATACTTTTGTGGAAGGCAACCTTTCCTCCTCTCCTTCACATCATCACATTTATACATTAAACCCATCTGTCAGTTCACAATAAAGCTGTTTTCTGTGTTTTGTGTTGTTCCAGCTTGGGTCCTTTCTACAGGGTGGTTGAGGATACTGGTCCACTCTGGGGGCCACAGCCTGTGCGCTCATCGCTCTGCTCACCAGCACCCATCATCATCGTTTGTTCAGGTGAACACACACACACACACACACACACACACACACACACACACACCAGTTAAACCAGTGGCACAAGGTGTTCAAACTACCTGAAACTAAAAAGAGAAACTCTGAAAAAACTGGACTAAGACTCTTTTAGGAGTACAAATTTGCCTGTTTTGCTGGTACTTTTTTTTTTATGTCTTATACTTTTGTTTTTAGATTATTTCTTTCATTTTTGTCTTGAAAATAATTTTGCATATTTTTCATTCACAGCTTGACTCACTCACTGTAGTATAAATGAGCTTTATGTCAACTAAATATCCATGAAGTGCAAACTCAAAATATCTGTGTAAACCAGCTGCTTGTCTGACAAATATTTGCATTAATATGTATTTCATACATGCATTAATATTTACAACTATTGAATGGACATGTTCAGTGCTCCATGGTTGTTTCAAGATCTGCACAATTTTACTTTTTGAATTTGAATTTTGTTTGTTTGTTTGTAAATAAAATGCTGCAGTGACGATTGTTTTCCTCCTGATGGGAAAAGAAAGCACAAAGAATCATTTCACAACCACAAATAAACTGGATCAATTATGATTTAGTCTATTATAAATCATCTTGCAGAAGCTCACATATGTTTTTTCCTCCTTCTTCTCCTTTCTATAAAATGTAAGATTATTGTAATAAACGATTTAAGACAGTTTAGAGTCGATGTTGCAACATTTACTGAGAAAAATACCAGACTTGTTGTGCAATGACCTCAACCTTAGGAGGAATAACTTCTTTTAACTCAGGCTATATGAAGGATTGCTCAGGATATATAACATAAACGTACGTACGCACTCTCTCACTAATGTTTCCTAACACACAGAGCACTCAGGTCGATAACAGTTAGTTGTAGAAATGTGTGAGATGGATGAAACGCCGCTGCTCAGCCTGGATCGACTCCAGCTGTTCACTCGGCTGCTATCAGTATGTTTAGATACCACATCCTTCACTGGATTCACACCCCGACACCTTCTATAAACACACTTCTCAACATACTTCTGTGTGTGTGTGCAGGAGGCTCCACTGTACGAGGAACTACATCCATCTGAACTTGTTTGTATCGTTCATGCTGCGAGCCGTGGCCGTGCTGACCAAAGACACCCTGCTCTTCTCAGACGACGAGACCACGGACTGCAGCACTCAGCCCTCGCTGGTGAGACACGCACATTTATTTGACTGTACTCACAGGCGTGTCCAGACTGTTTTGAAGGCACTGATTTATGCAGGGGCGGCATGAAGTGTGTCTCTCAGCTTTCCAGTCTTCCCCACTTTATGTAATTCCAATACTGGATGTATTGTGCCCCAAAGTGCTTGGGATTAGCATAAAGTGGACATGTCTGCAAGGGGGGAGACACCTGGGGTACCCATAAAACCCAATTTAATTCAGATATCTTGAGGTCAAAGGTCAAGGGATCACTTTGAAAATTTTCATCCCAGTTTTTCCATCTCCAAAATTTAGCCTTACTTTGGAGCATTGTTTTGCCCCCTCCCTGACATGGTAGCATGGTTGGTACCAACGGATGCGTAATATAATATAATTAGATTATCCTTTATTGTTTCCCCTTAGGAGAAACTTGTCTTGGTCATTCAGTTAATGTAGGAGCACACATGTACAATCAAACTACCGTTCACATGCAGTATCACATACAGATCTATATCTATCTATATATATTATTAATCACAAACCAGACTCCACTTACTAAAACCCCAGTTTCAGTATTTTACAATGACAGCTTACTGGATAATTCATGTTTACTCTCAGTTATCTTCCATACTGTAGACTAAAGTCTGTGGTGTTTATGGTGCAGGCTCACAGCGATGCATCTGCAAGTTAAGTTGCTAAGCGAAAAAGCCGACCTTAAAGTCCAGATTAACCTGAGATCTCAAATCAGTATCGAAATAACTTTATTTATCTGTTAGGAGCTAAAGTTAAAATACTGGTTTTAAAATGTTTAAAATATTCAAAAGGCCACCAGTAGGGTTAAAGTGTGGGTAAGAATGTCTGTAATAAATGATAAATTGGGTCAAGATCTGTATTGTGACGTCTTAAATTTGACCTCTAAACCCGTCACTTTTCAGTTGTCACTAGAGCATAACTTGAACTGTTGTCACATGTATGTAATGAGGTATATTGATGTTGTTGTTGTTGTTGTTGTTGTAGGTGGGTTGCAAGGCCAGCCTGGTGTTCCTCAACTATTTCATCATGGCCAACTTCTTCTGGCTGCTGGTGGAGGGTCTCTACCTGCACACGCTGCTGCTCGTCATCCACAACTACTCCATCCGCCTCTCCATCTACATACTCATCGGCTGGGGTAGGGTTGGCTATAAGAGGAGCATTTCTGTAACCTCTGTAACCTGTTAGCACACTGTCATGTCCGTGTGGTAAATATGAAGTTAAAACCAGCAGCTGGATACGTTACCAAAGCTGTGGTAGGCTAAAATGTTGACAATGTTGATACAGTAAGCATAAAAGGAAGCTTTCACAGTTCATATTATGATATGTGAGTTTTCCAGTCTCTGTTGTATCTGCATTTCCATCATATTCCACCTAAATCTGCAAAGCTGGTGATGACAGCCTTCCCTGCTTTCTTCACAGCCATTGCTGCAAAACTTATCCCTCACGACTTAGCTTACTTAGCATAAATTATGCACAAAATCTCTTGCAAAAACACAGACAGACAGTGCGTCATGCTGTTAAAGTGGACTAGTGTATTTCCTGAAAGGTCGGTTCGTAAACAGTCTCCTGGCCTCTGTGTTCGCTCAGTCCCGTTCTGCTGCCATGTGACACCTCCTTCCACCATCCATCACCACTTCACCAACACTTCCTCCCTAATGCACAACCATTTAGCTCCAGCTGTTTCATGTGCGCGCTTGGTGTCTGTGTGTGTGTGTGTGTGTGTGTGGACATCATATTTCCTGCGTGGCACCTCGTGAGGATGTTCTGTGTCTGGCAGACTGAGAATCTAAACAGACTTTCTCTCCTCTCTCCGTCTCTCAGGAATCCCTTTTGTTTTCATGGTTGCGTGGATCATATGTAGGATAAACCTGGAGGACACGAGGTGAGTCTGCACGTCCTGTTCTGACAGCTGCAACGTGTTTGAGAAGCATCGGGAAACGAGAGGACTGTCGGCCTCTAGTGGCCTCTATCAGCACTGCAGCCAGGAATACATCAAATTAAGTTAAATGATTAAATACAATCAACTTCAGGTGTTCAAACTGTACAAGAAAGACTCAAATTAATGTTTCTTACATAGAGACAATAATTTTTCACTTTTACTCTGAATCTTGAAAGCATTGTTAGCATGTAAGCATTTGTTTGTTGTATCGCGTTCACCCTTTCACCTTCCTCCCAGTTTGAAGAGCACTGCTTCAACCAATAAGGTTTCCAACAGATAACATTTGGGACATTCGATGGTTGTTATTAAGCAGCTCTGGTTAAAAAAAATACATTTATTTTCAGCTGTTGGGAGAGGAATGAGAAACCTGTCCCCAACCGACTGATCAACTGGCCCATCATGGCATCTGTGATTGTGAGTTTTGCACCAATATTTTATCACATAATGAGGTTTAGTAACTTTTAATGTCGTAACTAAAGCACTTATTCAGGATTATTTCAGTCGAATTTACAGTTTAAACCTCAATCTAAAACTCTTTGCAGATGGATTTTTGATGTTTTGTGATGATAAGTGACACTGTAGAAGTTAAAGAAGCTAATATATTTAACAACTGACATAATTCACACCTTCTTTGCCTCACTTTAATCAATTATATCACTTCATCACTCTTCTTATTCCCATTTTCCAGCCGCATACACTCAAAAATGTTGTCTGGGAACATTTCAAATCCCAGTGCTTCCACCATCCAACACAGAGTTCTATAAACAGTCTAAAAGCTGTTTCAGATAAGATAAACATGTTGGCATTCTGAACTTTACTGTTTTGAGGAACATATTTTCTCCTTGCTGCCACTGTGCAGCTCTGCTTGATTTATTGTGGACGAAATATTTGCTGCCTGTTTCCACGTTAGTCTTGCTGGGTTTGGCTAAGGTTGCACTAATGGAACATTTAACTGGGACTGAGATTGTTTATTCAATGACGTACACCTGGGTGAGTTTGTACTTTTCTACAACTGTTCACTCATTCATTCCCTTACTGCTTTGTGTTTCTCTACAAGATCAACTTCATCCTGTTCATCAGCATCATCCGCATCCTGGTGCAGAAACTGCGCTGCACCAACGTCGGAGGAAACGAGCAATCGCAATACAGGTAGACTCCCAGAGCACCAGGACACATTTAACCTCTGATCTTGTCTTGATTACATTTTTGCATTTTTAGAGGTGACATAATGAACCATCTGGCCGCCATATTCAGGCCAAAGGCTCATCAGGCAACCATTAACAGAAACAGCTGTGATTCTAAACACGGAAATCTTCATTTTGAACTTCACCTCGCTCTGCGTTCTGCACCAAGTATGACAACAAGCATTAAATACTCTCACACAGTTTGGCTTTTACATACAGCCCACGCCCAAGCAACAAGAAAGAGAGAGTTTTTATATTCAAAATAAGGAGATAACTTCATGTTTGCACAAAACTTTCCTTTCTCCAAACCTCTGTCAATAACACTGTAAGTTTATCGTGTTTTATTGTTTGTATTGACTGTGTCTGTGTGTATTTCTCTCTCTAGACGCCTGGCTAAGTCCACCCTCCTGCTGATCCCCCTGTTTGGGATAAACCACGTGGTGTTCGTCTACCTAATGGAGCCAGCTGACAAAACCATGAACTACATCAAGATCTTCTTTGAACTCGGCCTCGGATCCTTTCAGGTAACGTACGACGGGTTTCACTTTATCCCCTGTGAAGGTACACTGCTGCAAGGTTGTGGCTGCTGCCCCCCAGAGCACTCACAGTACACTATGTACAATATATACATAACTATACATTCATGCTTCTTCTGTAAAAACAAACTGTCTTTTATGTTGGTGACTGATTAATGCTTGACTTTAAACCTAATTGATGCTCAGTTGCTAAATTTTTTTTGTGGGTAAAAAGCATCAAAATACACACTTATGAACAGGATTTTTTAAGATGATGCCTAATCAGTAACACATCTGTATGTGTGTGTGTGTTTTAGGGTCTAATTGTGGCTGTCCTCTATTGTTTCCTCAACAGCGAGGTGAGTATACGCGCACATAATTCTGATCATTCTGTGAAATTAATTATCTGCTTCACGTCACAGATGCTAAACTCCACTTTGTTTGTTTGTTTGTGTAATTAAAAAAGGTCCAGAGTGAGCTTAGGAGGACGTGGAGGAGTTTATCTCTCAAGCGTTACGTGGGGCGGGACTACAGGCTGCATGCCATGTCAGTCAGCCGAAACGGCACCGAAAACTCTGGTCAGTTTCCCAGGAACTCCCGAGCCCAGTCCATCCTACAGACTGAGACCTCTATGCTCTGACCAGGGACAGAGACGGTCTGGTTTTGTAAAGACACTCATATTTAGAGGTTCAAAGTCTTACTCAAGGCCTCTTTTATAGACATATCGTTTGCTCCTGCAGGGACTGAGCCTGCAGGAGTTTCTGAGGTGAAGGACTTCTGGTCGGACTGTCTTCAATGTTTTGTTCAGAAACATGAAACAGTACCTGCTGAAAACCTGCAGAACATAGACCTGCATCAACTAACTGAACCTTTCATATCATTAAACGTTGTAATAAAAACTGTAAATGAAGACGATCAAATAAACGAAAGACATATTCTCAGACAGCTGAGTGTATCCTTTGTTACTCTGAAGCCAACTATTAACTTTAATAGTAAGATTTGGTTTCATGAAAGCAGAGGAAGGAAACAGACTAGGCAGATCCATGGATGTATAATAAAACCTGGATACCGGACCCAAAGATGGCGCCTATTCAGTCCAATAAGAATTATTCGTGACCAAATTACAAGCAGTTGCACCGAATCCTGTCCTGTTTGTCCCAAAAAAAAAAGCTTTGTAGATAACATGAACATGCTCAAACGATGATGAATCAGTGAAGATATTCTGATCTAATCACTTATGTAAGCTATAATTACTGTATTATTTATGTGGTTTTCCCCCTGTTTATTGCACAAATATTATCATAAATAAGATTAAAATTTAAATACACAAATAGTGACATATATGTATTTATATAAATGCTCCATAGATCAGAAATTAAGTGAGTGTTGAGTCATAATTGGAGTCCAGTAGTGCTTGTGGCTGATGACTCTGCTGAGGCTGGTGGTGATGGGGATACAGGAGTCCTTGCTGTAGCAGCCAGGGGTTCACTATTAATTAAAAAGGCCATAAAAGCCTGCAAACAACGCAGGTGTGTTGATGAGAACAGCTGATATCAGGACTGACAGCAAGGAGATTATGTGTGAGACGACTGAATGCAGGATGGAAATACGGGCTTAAAAGAAAATTCTTCCTGACTGAACTTTAACCAGAGCTTCCTTTTAAGTCAGACACGTGGTCCTGGGTTGCAGAAAGTCTTGTAACAGTATATTTGAAATATTTCTACAGTCCTGAATGGGAAAAATGATCCAGTAGTTCACAAGATACTCCCTTTCCTCCCTGGCCAATCATCTCATGACACCTCAGATTTATCTTGCAGTCCTTGTTGGGGTCTCGACCCACATGTTGGGAACTACTGTCCTAAACAGAGGAGTTCAGGAAACATACAGGTTAATGTATCATGGTTGTCCATTTATTTTATTGTTTATTTTTCATATGTAGGGTTTTTGTTTTTTTTTTGTGCCTAAACGAGGGTTTGACCACTGTGGCTTTTCTGTTATTTACAGTTTTCTTCTGATGTCTTTGAATTTGTCTTGGATTTGAGTGTTTCCCACCTTTTAAGGACACAAAATATCTTCAATAGAAGAGAATTATCGCCTTTAAGTGAAGCAGATGAATGAATAAAAATAGGCAGACTTTCCACTCATTTATCAGGGAGGATCTTCCATCATATCAGACGCTGAACACGTTTGGACACGTTTTATATAGATCGCGAGACATGACACCTCAGAACGCTGGCCAGCTCTTGTCCTAACAGTAATCTTGCGAAATCAGTTCTGCAAAATCAATCCACGGGCGACATTTAGAGAGAGAGCTAATGTCACTATGCACTTGCAGAAGTACTAAGTTTCCCAGGAGTCCCTAAGTGATGATCGATATGATACATAAGTCAGGTTCTATAAGAACACCAGGAGAAACCATAATCAATGAAAGCCTATATGGGATAAGATAAGAGAGAAGCTTGGAAGCTGTTCTAGCAGTCGTATATAGACCTTAAGAAACATTTTTTATCGTACTACTAAGAGTCCATGGACTTGTTTGTTCTATGCGTCCCTCACGCTGTCTAGGTCTAATCCTATGAAGTAGATTAAAAAGTAAGAAAATAAAGCACCGACCGCACAAACTATTGATTATTAGGTAGAAGTTAGGTGCACAAGACACCATGAATTTAATGATTTTGACCAGTACAATAAACCCGACTCTTTGTCTTATACAATATAAAAAAAAAGATATTAGCAGGGCACTTAAAACGTAGCGGGGGAAGCTCATTTTGGAATGGGGTTTTGTACAAGACTGGCTAATGTAAAAACTAATGTTTATTTTAATTATGGATTTAAATTATTATAAAATACATTTAAACAACAAAATAATTAAAAGGAAAACTGATTAAATATCAAAGAAAAATACAGCCAAAAATGAAAAAGTTTATTAGGTATACACTTAATATTATATATAATATGAAGATCATTTTCAGTTTGAGGAGTTAATACATCTTCCTGAGCACTTTCTGGTGCTGTTTAATAGTACTGCATTACATATTTTACCTAAAAAAAAAAAGGATCGTGTTTCTTCTTCAGGGTATGTAAAGTAACTGAGTTATCATCATATTTATCTTTAGACATCAGGACAGGGGACAAATAAAAGGAAAAACCTGAAAGAATGAGTGGAGAAACATGCAGATGCTTTCATGAGAATAAAGATGATGTGAATCAACCTTTAATGGAGCTTTATATTAGTTTGTCCTTTAAAATGCTTCTATAGACACTTTTCTGTACTTATCTAGTGTTTATGTTTCCACTGGCCTTCAGTAAACCCATCACTGCTGTGTGTGTGTGTTTGTGTGTGTGTTTGTGTTTATCTGCACTTGACAGCTCACACTGACCCGTGCTTTCAGAGGTCAGAGGTCAATGATGAAGAGAGCATGTTGCTCCACTGGTAAACAGAAGAAAACAAACTTAAGTGTGAAACTATTTTATTGCTGGGAGACTTTATTTTTCCCCTGGGAGGGTCTTATTTACTTTAGATTGTGAAACATTTCAGCACATATAGGAGTTATGCAAGACTTTGAAATGATGTCATTGGTAAAGGTGAAACTCTTTCAGCAGAGCCAAAGGTGAGCAAGATTGATACCTGCAAACAACAACAAGTAGTAGAAGAAATCACTGAAATTTATTGAAAAGAAAACAGCAAAAAATGTAATTAAATAATTATTTTTCCATCCAGAGGACATCAGGGAGAAAACCATAAAATATTGTCTCCAGAAAATATGATCAAATTCTTTTTCTTTTTCATATAAAAAATAGCATAAAAAGGTTTATTCTCTGAGTATTTATTCAATGACACACACCTGAGTTAATTTAATACCTCTGTACCTGATGAAGAGCCAATCAGGGGCTGCTGTTAACTGTGGTCCCACCTACAACGCACTCTGATTGGACGAGCCCCAACCAACCGCCTCCTGCTAACCAATCAGATCCAAGCTATCAGCCGTAAAGCCGTTACTTTAAGAAGTTCAACCGAGTTCAGCACTGTAATATCCTGAGGATGAATTTGGTATGTATTGATAATAAATCATGACTAATGTTCTGCCAAAATTAATGTATTTATCTGTTTCAACATTATATTGAATTACCTGATAACTATTAACTTAAAGGTTAAGGTTCTTAGGTTGTGTTTTGACAGGAGAAGTTAAGTAACTAATGTATAAAGTATATAGCATTGTATATACTTGTCATTTATGCAGTGAAAACTGTTTTTTAAAGGTTTGCCAAAGATTGTAACAGCTAACATTACAGGTAATCTTAGCTGACGTTAAATGTTCTGATGTTTTTCTTTCGTATTTACACATTTTGTTTACACCTCATATTGAATATTCGAAAAATATACACTCAGTTGAGCTGTAAGTTGTCATTTTCACATAAATAAAGTATTTTGAAGAAACCCCTGCTGCTGAAAGTTCATCCCCAACCCTTACCCTCGCCTTTACCTACACCAGTCTAACTTTAACCCTAAAACCAAATCTAAACGGACTCTCTAAAGGACTAAAAACTCAATTTAAGTTACAAATCAAACACAAACACTCACAGTCAGAATCATCCACTCACCAGAAACAATAAACAGACGTCAGTCCTCCTGTGTCCTCTTCTCCCTCACCTTCATCTTTTCAATTAGCCTCCTGAGAGCCACCGTCTCTCACCTCCAGATGAGGCACAGTTTGCTTCAGATTCACGAGTATCAAGGTGAACTCTGTGGTTTCGTTCAGGCACAGGTTTATTGGACAGAGAGACAAGGTTAACAGACAATTTACTTAAAAGCAGACAGATTCATATCCACTGTACGAGACAAAGATACACATGTGGGAAAACATGTTAGACGTCAAAGAGAGTGACTTTGCAATCCATATTGTCTGACACCTCACCTTCTCTCTGTGCTCTATTTCCTGCAGACAGGAGGCAATCTTACACACAGCAGGACTCCCCCGACTTACCACGACGCCTACTCTTTATGTACATTTGGTATCATTGTGTGTACATGAGGATGTACTTATTGAGAAATGTGAGGTAATTATTATTTCTTTGCCTCTGTAGTTGCTTTCAGGTCGTTCAGCCCACACCAAGATACACAGTTGGTCGACTGTGCATCTTGTCAAAGGTCATACTGAGGTCCGGCTGATATGGTAAGATTTATTCAGTGTTTCTTTTTACTAATCTCACCATCTCACTGTTTTTATGTGCATTTTGTTGAGGATTATTGTTAAGGATGTGGTTTAGAGGTGTCAACAGCACTGCAAACTTGCAGAAACTGCAGCCTCAAAAAGGAGGGTACAGGTAGGATGGTACATCACCTCTCTAAATCAGTTCCAACAAAACATTATAACGTTCATAAAGGGAGCATTGTGTTTAGCTATATGTTCCTAATTCAACTGGCAACTGTGTAAACATCCACTTTTCACAGTTTCTTCACACCTGTAGCAGCCACTAGATGACACTAAAGTCCAGTTAAAAAATTCAAGTTCAACCATATCACATGTGCCAGTGCTTTAGAATTGCCCATTTTCTCTTATTCAAGTGGATAAACAGGGTTCCCTAAAAGTAGTTTACTGAATCAAAGCAAAATTAAAGTTTTCAGCGCGAGGGCAGTCCAATCAGGCAAACAGAATCTAAACAGCACATACAGGCAGTGATCAGACAGCAGTTGAGGACAGACCCAGAAGTTTTGTTGAATCACAACAGAGCACATTGTGTTGAGAGAAAGCCCACTAACTGGGGTGTCCCACAACAAAAGGTAACCAGATAAAGATGGTGGTTTTGTAGATTTTGCTGTCAACAAATCTCATTAAAAGACCAAAACCAACTTAGTCTATTTCAGTTTTGTCCTGTCTGTGTTGAGCTTTTTGGTTTTGGTTTGCTTCCAGTTGATCAACAGCCACAGCAAGAAGTTTGTTACCCCTTCAAAACATCTAAACTTAAACACCCTGTTGTAATCCTCTGCTTTATTTGCAGTGTTTTTATAAGTCAAGACAACGGTTGATTTCAAGTTTGACGTTTATTGTAAGAAATGAAACAACATGACCTCTAAGAAGACCAGGATTAGAAAATCATCTTGTTATGAATTAAACATTTATTAAAAAAACAAAAAGAACACACTTTATGGTTTGTGATAGAAAACATATTGAATGCTTGACATTACACTTTCTGCATATATATATATTTGATCTCAGTTGCAAGCATTGAGGTTTGAACATTCAGGGGGATTGTTGCAGCACGATATGTGAGTGCACGTTGCAGGTTTTCAAACAGTAGCAGGAAAATGTTTTGCTTAGAGAGGAAGCGATACTTCACTTCTTTGTCATATTGGCGGTGACTGGAGAGAGAGAGAGAGAGAGAGAGAAAACCATCAGCATTTCTGTGCATATACTTTTGTGTGTGTGTGTGTGTGTGTGTGTGTGTGTTGGTACAACTTACGCGTCTTCACCCATTTACTATTGGGATCAGCACAGGCCTCTCCTCTGCGTGTGTTGAAACTGGAAAAAATAAACAGAGTGATGAGGATTGTACTATGTGTATGTTTGAGTGTTGGGCAACATGTATGAACTTACATTACAGCCTCCACACAGGGCCCGCCAGGAGATTGCTTTCTATACGTGTTCCCAGTCACGGCACTGGTGATATTTTCAGTGGAAACCTTAACACAGCATGGAGGAGGAGGTGGACGTCTGCCAGCATGGCGCCCTGAGAAGA